AGATTCTGTTACAAATCTGACCTTATATATCATAGAATTGCTTGTAGCACAAAGCAACCTAAAGCAAAGGAAGTAGCCAGATGTAGCCTATCATTAGCATAAGAACAGCAAAGCATTACACTAGAACTACAATTCCTTTATTTGAAATAGTCTAATTTAATCAGTAGTAATAGTAAATTCAGTAGCTGAAGTCATGTTGTTGGCTAAAAATACGTCAGCATTGTATGTCTAGATGCCCATCTTAAGTGAAGTGCTTCAGTTACAAATAGCTCATTTTAAAGCACTAAATTGTGTGTTTTTATTTTTATAATTGAAAATAAGTTAGCACTTCCTCTAAATAGGAAAATGTTCTGGATATTTTAGTACATAACTAATACTTATTTGCTAAATAATAGTTACCAGCTGTTACTCAATATCAGTATTAGTATTGGAGGAGAAAATGTGGTATTATGCCATCTCGTCATACATTACGTCATCTTTTCTGCAGCTGCACAATTCAGTGTAATACAATGTAAGAGAGAATGAACCTAGTAAAGACTGTATTCCACACAGAATGCAGGATGATCTTAAAGCCAAAATGACTCCTGTTGTGAAATGTACTTCCAAAGCTTAAAATATATGCACAAACAGCTTAGGTCTCTGCCAAACAGGCAGCTAGTACAATACATATCAATGACATTAAACACACACTTCTTATGAAAAGCCAAACTAAAAACCATTCAAGCTAAATACAGTATAACTACCCATCATAAATAGTAGGTAATTGTAGCTTTTGGATAGCTTATGGGCTATTGTGCGTCCACTGCAATCCATAGACCTACCTCTCAATTACAGTAAAGTCTGAAGAGACTTAAGATCATTTCTGTAAAACTGAAAATAAGCACAGTGTTAACGTACTTTCAAAACAGTTGTTTGACATAATTACCATGAATTTACTGTGTTTTTGCTCACAATAAGTTTAACTTAATTCCTTCTCATGGGAAATGATTAGGGGCAATAAATCTTTCCACAGCATGCAGACACTTCAAACACTGAAAAGATACACACAAAAAGACTTAAAGGTGCCATCTTGTGTGGTCTTATAGGTGTAATAGGTGTTCCTGGAGTGTTAGAACATCTGTTGTGAGACCACAATCAACCACCAAATCAGATAATGCCAAGGTCTGCCTTGAAGACATATCATTGTTAATGTAATTTGAAAATAGCCTTGTGGACTTACATTGAAAGCACAGAAGTCATTTTCCCAATGCATTACATGTCATTTACAGTCTTATAGTGAGCTTTCTAATGTAATGGCTTGGGAAAGTCACCCCCAGTAAACTCCCAACAATTGGGACCTAGTTCTATTCTATTCTCCCATACCTGACTAGACCATAACTGGCTTTGAAAAGTCATTCAGATTGTTCACTTTGCAGTGATATTAAGGAATATATGAGGTATAAACCGGTATGGAATTGTTGTGACAAATACTGATACTGACTTTAGCAAGCTAAAACCCTAATAACCAATAATATTGGTTGAATATTCAATGTTTCAATTTAAAGCTTTTTTTGATTTTTTACCTCTTATTTTTCTAATTTGTCTTGAGGTTACATGTTATTCTTATGCTTAAACATATGTTTCCACACTTATTACATTGCAGGCTTCTTATTTGGTTATTAATCTCAAGGCTTATTACCCAGAAGCCACTGTGAAATTGCTTTGTAAGCTATGTACTTATGAGAGTGAGTCACTGAAATGTGGACCCACTGTTGAGTCCTTAGTGTTTAAGGGGTTAAGGTCAAAGACCCTAATGGGTCAGAATTATGTGGACCTGCTGAACATCATTACCAGAGGCAGGAGGGAGAATGAGTGCTGACAAATGAGCACAGCTTACACAGATACAAAGATCAGCACTAATTCCATATTTTTTTAACTACCATCATGTGCGTCCAGGACACTTTGTCTAGGTGGGGCACCAGGTAGAAGACACTGAAAGGAAATCTCTGAGAAGAGCAGTCAATATTCCTTGAATTCTCCTCACTTCTGGTTTTGTGTGGAACGGAGGTCAAGTGTTATCCTCCACTCCAGCTTTAAAGTGAAGAAAACAAATGGTTCCACATCTGGTCTCAACTTTTTTTTCTTTTCTTTTTTTTAACTAAGGAGCAACGCAGAGCTTTAAGTGATTGTCCAGATTTCATTCTTTTTCACAAGGGGGAAAAGTGGGACACAAACAAACACCCAGTGCAAAGGTCATTTACCTCAGCATGTGGCCACCGCAGTGAAATACCACTCTCCACGTAAAAGAGCTACCATGACTTCTCTAGTGACCTGTATATGTCTCCAGTGAAATACAATAGTAGACCCTTTCAGCCGGCAGAGACCGACACGGACAGAGAAAGACAACAAAGAGAAGTCAATTGAATTGAAAAGATGTTTGTGAAGACTCGTATTCTTAATGGAGACTTTCTTTCTTTTTTACTTTCTTGACCAAACTCGTTTTTTTCTTCCTATTGAGAGGGAGTGAGATAGCCCAGGAGAAGAAATGGTTCAGAGTAGCCAGAAGTAAAGGAATGACTCAAGGAGGGAAATGAAGTTGAGCGCCAACATCTGCTTCCAATAAAACTGCACACATTCTACCAACAGAGAGAAAAAAATGTGTCCTGTTCTGAGTCATATTCTTCAAAACGTGAATTCACTTCTTAAAACATGGTGAAATACACAGTGGTGACTTACTGTCCTCAACTAAGACATTTACACATATTTGGGTGTAGTTTCAGTTACTTCCGGTGAGGTTAAATCTTTGTCCATACCTCCATGACCATTTCTAGAGCCACTGGAGTAAAACGAACGTTTTTCTCTTGACATTTCTGGTAATGTTTAGATTCCAAGACTTCAAACTGTTTGAAAGTCAACTCTCTTCAAAAGGCTTACAAACTAGACCATATCTTCCCCCCTGCTTATGAAAGGAAATGGAATGAGTTTACAGTGGCATTTCCTCCATTAGATGTAACATGAAGGGTAGTGAGGTAGTGGGAAAAAGAGACAAAGTGCTATAATTATGGTTATTTCTAGGCCGCACAGTTAAACTCGCTAACATTTTTTTCACTCCTACTCTCTCTTCCTCTCATCTCCACGTCCTGGACCGCTGTAATGATCCAGGTCTATAAAGACACACATTCCTTCAGACTGAGTTCATACCTGCTTTCAAGAGGCAAGTGTTTGTACACAAGTTCTTCTAAAATGAACATCTCCACCAGAGCTTGGTCTCATGTTCACAGATGGGATAGGCTATCCATTCAGCTGATCAAGTGTAGTCTTTCCTGAACACCTTCTGACCACCTTGCCGGAATTTAGATATATAAAAATTCACAAGGGGCTACCAATTGAACACATTTGTTAATTTAGGCTTTCCAGTTCTTGACAAAAGCATACAGTATAAAAACCCGACCCATTTTCATTGTTGTTAAAAAACAGAAAGGAATAAAGAGACATTATTGGAGCTAGAAGTGAATGAAACATTAGTTTGCTGTATTATTAGGCTTAACATGCATTTACTGTGTGTACAGTCGGCACATTTGTGGTTGTTGTTTTGTTTTTTGCTTCTGTGACACCCCAATTAAGGGAAACTCCACCAATGTTTAAAAATTTTTTACATAATTAATTGGCTGAGATGTAAACAAAGTCATTCAGAGTGGTTTGATGCAAAATGCTTGGCTCTAGAGAAACCTGGCGAGTCAGAATTGTTCACAGTGGTGGTGATAGGAACCAGACGTCTGGAGAGTTTAATCCCTCTGAAAGCTCCCTCACAGAAAGTTATTAGATGAAATGCTTAGATATATGCTGCCTGATGCCTGAGACATTATTTTATGATAGTTTCAAGAAAGGTCTTAAATTGTATTTGAATCAATTTATTTTAAAACATTTATGGCGAAGGAGTACATGAAGGGTGTTGTAAGGCAAAACAGTCCCCAAAGAATTTTTTTTTTCCCCCAGATTCACTATTTTACCATTATCAGCATTACATATAAAACTCAGAAGACATGTGCAGCTTTACTGGTGGTTTTGGATAGTAAATAAACTGCTTATAATAATAATCCCTGGTTCCTATCACCACTGTAAAGAAATCAGAGTCTGTCAGTTTCCCTACAATTCACGCCAAACCTCTCTGAATGTCTCAGTGACTGAATTATCCAGACATTCTGAAAAACCGGTGGAGTTGCCCTTTAATGAACTACATCTATCTATAGCTTACGGTTACAGTCCGACAGACACATGTAGATTTCAGCCTACTGGGTATGAGGATATCGTTGACCACATTCAAATCCACTCATTTTAATACAAACACAAAAAATATCCAACAACACAGCCTCCATTTGAATACAGCGCAGCATTTTAGCACAGCACTGCATTTATCTGGTGAAATTCAGCCCACACGTTTCCAAACGCGAGGTGACGACCAAGATTAACGCCGTCACCTCGGCCAAACCCAACGACTCCCTTTGTCGTGAGACCGTCCGTAAATGTCCTCGAATTGCCAAAACGTGGACAGACATAATCTAGGTATCATTTAAGCCAACCCACGTTCGTGTCGGCACGAAAGCGTGTGAGATGTAAATAAGCCCCCAGAGGAAAGGAGACGAAAGGAGGGGGGCAGGGGTTGATCAGCTATCAGCAGCCTTCACATTCAGGTTAATTCACCAACAGCCTTAAAATGACAACAGGTTGCGTCTGTACGTCAAATTAGCAATGTATGCTAAAGGGCGCTCTAACGAACGGCTAATTATACAGCAGCCGCAACATAAAATGATGATATAACTAAAATAATTTAGGATTTAGGATCACAGAAATTAACCACTGGCGCTAGAAACCTACCAACAGACCACTTAAGACAAATTCAGCTTGAAAATTAGCAGGTAATTTCTCTATTTATGTCAAACTAGCATGGAAATCGTTCAGGCGTTTTCGTTTGTTGTCAACGAAAATGTAACCGGCTGAGAGAAATAGGCTACGTTACTCACCCATATCAAGTTAACCCGCGGCACTGAGACCGAGACCTAGCATAGCCTCTTTTTCCTCTGTATTTTCTTCTTCTGAACCGGCAGAGCAGATGACAGTTTTTGGACAGCCTACAGTCGAGTGGTTTTGCCGTACAGTCCTCTGCTCCTAATAAGACGCTGGCAGCTCTGGGCTGCTGTGGAATGCGCTGTGATGTTACTGCAGCCCGAGACTCGGTAACTCCCCCACAGAACTGCTGCCTGCCTTCAGCACGGAGTTTAACCCTCTGTAGACCAGCCTGCAGATCCTCTCAGTCCTCATTGGGCGCTGAGGGTAGCAGACAGCTGAGCAGGAGAGCTGATCTCTCTCTTGCAGCAACCAGCTGTACTCTTAGTCGTGTTTTTAGCTTAGCTGTGTTCTCCTGATAAGACGTAGGAATAGAGAGCTTAAAGCCATAATAAAGTGCTAGTCAACCAAATAAGAGGTCAAGTAGGAGTAAATGTGGCTAGAAAAACAACTCGATTAAGATCAGGAACTCCTTAACTCTGCATCTGTTTAGCATAGGAACTGAAGTCTGTTATACCATTTTTTTTGAGTGCTATTTTTCCTTTTTTGGGGATTATTTTGGTCAAATTTGTATTGGGAAAAAAAGCATGTAAAGTGTATTTATAAAAAAAAAGCCAATGAAAATAGCTAAAATGTAGCTGAAGAGTGTCTAAAAAAATGAAATAAAATTTGAAAATAAATAAATGAAATAAATAAGTAAGTAATAATAATAAACATTATAAATGTTTTTTTAATGGGAAAATAAAATGATAAAGCTTAAAAGTGACAGCATAGCATTTCAGGTGCTGAACTTACAGAACATACTAAAATTAAACCCTATAAAGGAATTGACAGTGTAAATCAGAAAGCATAACACATTTTCTTCTGTACTGTAATGTACACGATGTGGCCAAAAGTATGTGGACACCTGACCATCACACCTATATGAGCCTGTTTGACATCCCATTTCAAAACCATGTGCATTAATATGGAGTTGGCCTGTTCTTTACTGTTATAACCTCCTCCACTGTTCAGGGAAGGCTTTTCACAAGATTTTGGAGTTTGTGGGAATTTGCACCCATTCAAAAAAGCATTTTTGAGGTCTGGCACTGATGTTGGACAAGACGGCCTGGCTCACAATCAACCTTCCAGTTCATCCCAAAGGTGTTCAGGGGGGCTGAGATCAGAGCTCTGTACAGGCCACCAGAGTTCTTCCACACCAAACTTGTCAAATCGTGTCTTTATGAATCTCATTTTGTGAACAGGGGCACATTCACGCTGGAACAGGAAAGGGCCTTCCCCAAACTGTTACCACAAAGTTGGAAGGAAATAATTACCTAAAATGTCTTTACATGCTGCAGCATTAACATTACCCTTCACTGGAACCAAGGGGCTGAGCCCAAACCCTAAAAACAGCCCTAGACCATTATCCCTCCTCCACCAAACTTTACTGTTAGCACTATGCATTCCTGTAAGGCGTGTTCTCGCGGCATCCAACAAACCCAGGTTCATCCATCAGACTGCCAGACAGTGAAGCGTGATCCATAACTCCCAAGAACACGTTTCCACTGCTCTAGTATCAGGAGTCCAGTGGTGGCGTGCTATACACCAGTCCAGCTGATACTTGGCCATGCACTTAGGCTTGTGTGCAGCTGTTTAACAACAGAAACCCATTTCATGAAGCTTCTGACATACAGTTCTTGTGCTGATATTGCCTTCAGACGCACTTTGGACCTGAGTAGCGAGTGCAAGAGAAGACAGGCGATTTTTACACACTATGCACTTCAGCACTTGGCGGCCCTGCTCTGCGAATTTGTGTGGTCTACTTTGGTTTCAGTACCGCTATTTTTCCCCTCTTGCTGGTGCACAGTGATCAAAACTTTGACACATAAACAAAATTTTGTCTTTTAAATGATATGACATGATGCATCATGCTTAATATGTGCAGGCACATGAACTGACAAGATCAATTGTAATTTCAGGTTCACTTTAAAAGTCTTGTTTTACATTTTCATGTTTTTGATGATCTGTGCACTTTTTAACCCCAGATCAACTTACAGTTACAGCATGACCACATGCTGACACGCTGCAATATCATGCCAGCATTTTCACTGTAAAATTATGAAACTCTTCCCATTGCTGATGTTACACAATGACTGTCTTATGATACTACGTCTATTCTTCAAATATTCTTGAAACAGGATAGTTTGCAATGAATTTCATGTTCAGTGGAAAAAGGAAATACAGCACATAAAGTCAGACCATATAGTTATATAGCTTTTATTTTTTCTGAAGAAAGTCAGTTTTCTAGCCAGACTTAGAGTCAGTGGGGAAAAAACTGCATTGTGTTTTGTGATATACAGAGCACGCTGCTATCTTGCTGCTCTGGTTGATTGTAAACACAGAGCAGATAGTAATGATAAGATGCCTTTGGGGGAATTTGAAAGAGCTTATCCTCTAAACCACTATTGTTCTTTTCAGTGATTTAATTATTTTTTGAATGTTCCAATTATTTGTGATTAAAGAATAAAACCTTTCAAAGGTTTTCAAAGAAAGTAAAGAAAGTCATTCAGAGCGGTTTGATGTGAAATGGTTCATCGTAGAGAAAGATTCCTTTACAGTGGTGGTGATAGGAACCAGGGATCATGATCCATACAGTGTAAATGTTGATTTTATTTACTATCCAAAATGACCAGTGAACCTAGACATGTCTTTTTTACTCCACCATGAATAACTTTTAAAAACTATGCTTCAGGCTAAAAGGTTTTCTTAAAACTATCATAAAAAAATAATGTCTCATACATCAGGCAACATATTTGTAACCATTACAAGGAATAGCTTTCTGTGACAGCTTTTAGAGGCATCAAACCCTTCAGACGTCTGGTTCCTGTCACCACCACTGTGAAAAAAATCTGACTAGGTAGCTTTAAGAATTGAAGGAATGTTTCTAATCAAACCATCCTGAAGGACTTTGTCTGAATCTTAACCATTTAATTATGTGGAATTTAATTTTAGACTTTATCTCCAAAACTTTACAGGTGAAGGAAAAACATTCTGAACTTCGAATGAAAAGTTAATGGAACCAAAGCTTTTTTTGGACATTTCTATTGATCGATTCATCATTTAATTTTAACACAATGTAAAGGGCAGCTGGCTTTTTCAACTCATGTGGATGTAAACTATATGTGCATATATTTGCTCATTAAATATAGATGTGCTGTATGTGTGATGCTTTAAATTAAATATTAAATATATTTAACTGCCATTTTTGAATATGTAAATATGCCAATATATGTACATATGTCAAATATACATGGAAAGTTGTAACAAACTTTTTTGAAAACATATTTTGAAAAACATGCACATGGGAAATTCTTTGGAAAAAAAGAAACAAAAAAATGAGATCAAAGGTTTTGTTTGGACTCTACAACCAAGCCAAAAGCTATTTCTGGAGTGTAAGATTTGATTCATGGAAAGGGCCAGTGGTCAGGGAAATGCTGGGATTTGTTCCCTGGTTCCTGCTGCAGCTGCTAGGAATGTTTTTCCACTATCTGACGTAACCGTTGACAGTGATTGGCAGAACAACATGTACCTCATTGAATATAAATGCTTGCTTTTGGTGACTGTGTCTCTGTTACTTTGGGCCGGCCACTGGCCAAGAACATCATTCATGTGTTTGCGCAGGTTTTCGGTCAAGATGACAGTCTCTGTTTAGGGGCTTTAGGTGCCACATGGGTTATATGGTGAAGCTGGAATAGCCCACACTCCTGAAGGTTGCCAAAAAGGGCTTTTTGGAGCACTGCCAGGGAAGAAGGGTTGATCCCCCTCCCCTTAAAAAAACTTTGAATTGAGTTGTTTCAGTTGAGTTTTTTAAGAACCATCCACTGAAAGGTTCTTCAGGGAAGCAAAAGTGGTTCTTTTGTGGCAGCGATCCAAAGAACCCCCTTTGAGGGCTTGATGTTTAAGGATGTGTAGAGAACTTCAGTGAAAGTCACACTTTTCACACACTAAGCCGTGTGCCTGACTTTTGATCTTTATATGAGGAGAGAAAGACAGAAGTGTTTGGTAGGGCGGTATTTTGTTTCTTATGTTGGTGTTTGTTACTTTAATTAGTATTCAAAGCTTTGTCTTCTGTTCACCCTTTAGGCCCCAACAGAATTTTAGAACACTCTCATGGATTCCTGATGATTTTCAGATTTAGAGGGTTATTTATCACTGTTTTAAACAAAACAATTCAACATAAAATCAGAAATAAATGGCAATTAATTAACAACAGACATGATGTTAGGCTATAAAAATCATGTCATACTCCGATAATCTTAGCTATCACAACCACACCCCTCCTATAATTTCACAGTGTCACCCTTTTTCTTTGACAGACTGAAGCAAAGTAAGGCCAATATATTAAAATGGTAAACATCATTTAAACAAAGAGAAATAGCCAAATATACATAATTTGTTTGGTTTTAGTTTTGACAGCTGAACAACATTCAGGTGAAGAAGCTGAGTGTGTCCTCAGTCACTTATACCCACAGAGCTTAGAGACAGAGAGCAACATGGATAGCAGGCTCCACTGTAAAAAAAAAGTCTGTAATCAACAGTACAAAGTCCAGGAGCAGGGGTTTCCTGGTAATAATAAAGGTAAAATCTGTAAAATTATGGTCATTTAATTACTTAGAAATATTGCTTTTTACTGTAATTCAACAGTTTCACTAGTTATTCTGACATACAGTTTTTATTATAATAATAACAGTACCAACAATTCCAATAAATGGAAATGTCTATGAAATAAGGTGTTTTTTGTCAATTTACATTCTATTTTTGTAAATTAATAGCAGCAGTGTTAAAATGCAGTATTTACAAGCATTTAACCTTTAAAAATGGGTATTGACCATTAAATGTTACAGTACTTTGACAGAAAAAATACTATTTTTTTTAATAGTGTAGCTAATTGGATCTGCATAGATTTAGAATAAAACATTGAAATAACTCAGCAATAAGATTTATGGTGGCCTGTTGAAGTTATTTCACTTGCTAAAGAATTTAATTTAGACCAATATGGTAGCCATTGACCATGAACTTGACAATCCATTCAGTAAACCAGCTAAATTGACTAAAACTACATCAATACAAGGAATTTAAAAAGAGTTGCATTTTGAACTTCTGTATCATCACTGCTACATGGGTAAGCAGAAATCCAGTCAGACTCATC